ACGGGTGCTGTAAATGTCCTGGAGGGAGGGGAGAGAGACACCAATGATCCTCTCTGCAGCTCTCACTATGCGTTGGAGGGTTCTATGACAGGACGCATTGCAGGCTCCAAACCACACAGTGATGCAGCTCGACAGGATGCTCTCGATGGTGCCTCTGTAGAAAGTGTGCATGATGGGGGCTGGTGCTCCTGCTCTTCTTAGTTTGCGGAGAAAGAAGAGACGCTGCTGTGATTTCTTGGCCAGTGCTGTGGTGTTGTACGTCCAGGAGAGATCCTCTGTGATGTGCACACCCAAGAACTTGGTGCTGCTCACTCTCTCCACAGACGCTCCGTCAATGGTCAGAGGAGCATGTTGGGTGTGCATTCTCCTGAAGTCCACAACAATCTCCTTCGTCTTCTCCACATTCAGAGAGAGATTGTTGTCAGCACACCACGTGGCCAGGCGTCTCACCTCACTTCTGTAGTCGGTCTCATCCCTGTTGCTAATGAGACCCACCACCGTTGTGTCGTCCGCAAACTTGATGAAGAGGTTGGAGCTGGAAATTTCTATTCTCTGTATGTCCTGTACATGTGGCAGAATTGACAAATAAAGTTGACTTTGACTTTGACTCATTGGAGCAGGTTCCTGAACTGCATTTATTCTGTGCTTAGTCAGCTTTCATGGATATCATCTCTGTCCTCCTCCATCCTAACATTATCTAACCCATGCTTAATGTTAGACTTAAATATTCACCGCTAAGCCTCATCAAACTTCCACCTTTCTTTTCCCCTCACTCTTTCTTAATCAGCTGTAAGTCCTATTTTACAAGTAATGGGATTGTGATCAATTGCCACTATTGCTTCCTGGTAAACTTCCCAGCTCTAAATTCCTGCTGTGCTCTGTCTTTTTGGCCCGTCCCGTTTGGCTCTTTTGCCATCAGAATTACTGGGGAAAAGAAAGGGGAGAAAGAAAGAGGGAAAGAAAAACAGTGGGGAAGAGGGACGGGGATAAAGGGTAAAAAACAAAAACCAACAAAATAAGCAGACAAAAAATGCATATATCAATCACCTGGATCACCTGTTGAGAAAGAAAAAAGAGAAAACAAGCAGAAAAAAAAGAGCAACACAATAAACAACATCACGATGATCTATGGGAATATAACAGTAAATACTAAATATTAAACCTGCTGTGTTTCTTGATCCTGATTTTAAATCCAATAAAGACTCTTTCCCTAAGCTGACAGTGACCAGAGTCCCTGTTCATTCAGACTGACTAATTCCTTCTTATCTATAAGCTGCCCAATCACCTCACCATTTCCATCTGTTCTTTGTCCTCCCCAGAGTACAATGTGAGCACTTAAGTGTCCACACAGCATTATCTTCTTACTCTTGAGGCATTTTGATGTTTTTAAAACAGTGAACTTGTAGTTTTTTTTGCGAGGATTCTAAAGGTTTATTACAGTGAGAGCTTCCCTACCTAACCATATTCCTATTGCCAGATACTTCAACAGCAACATCAAGCCTATCATATCTCACTGTACCCATGTACAACTAAATCTAACCTTGGCTTAAATCATGTTTCCTGTACACAGATAACTTGTGAAAAACTTCCTCTGCCAGTTTCTTCTGCTCAGTCTTTGATGTTTTCTTCACTTTCTTCATCAGGTCATTAGACACACTTTCCAGAAGGCAGCAACACTTTCTGCACCCTCACATCCAGTTCCAACTGGTCACAAGCACTGGCTGGTTTCTTTGTCAGAAGCTTCCAGAAACAGGCAAGAGGAACTATACAGGCTGTTGCTCAGTACCTCTACTACCGTCCCTTCACAAGTCTGAAGTCTGTAATCCTTAATCCAAATCCTCACTCAAAATTACTCTTAGAATAACCGTAGTAATGCCATCCAGTAACAGTTCAATAAGCCACATCACAATCAGCTCGTCCTGCCTCTGTATCTTCCACCTGGGTCTTCTCTAAATTCCTTTATTTGTGGAATTAGTTTTAGTTGACATCTCCCTGTAGTTGTCAGTTTATACCGAATTTTTTTGTTCAGTGGTTTTTATCTCTTTTAAGTGTAACAATTTATCCTGTTTCCAGTGTTTGTACTGAGCTAGGATAAATATGTCCTCCGCCTATCTATACAGAAATTAGTCTAACCTGAATTGGGGTAACTGGAAAGAACCATAGTACTGCACTGTTAAATATACTAAGATATATACAGCTTGTTAATGGAGAAGCTCTCGCTGGAGGCCTCCAACATTACTATCCCTACTTGATCAGTTACAAGAGTGTTTTTGTTGTGTGCAAAGGAAAAACTTATTATATATGTATTATATATTACATTTATAAAATGTATTATAAATGATTGTTCATTTCACATCTGCACGAAACAAACAGGAAATAAGAGAAGGACATGGGAAATGTTTCCAGCTCTTCTTCCTCTATCAGACATTCTCTCCATACCTGAGAGTGTCCAGTTTCCACTGTGGATCCTTCAGACCAGCTGCCAGCAGTTTCACTATTGAGTCTCCTGGATAATTGTAGCTGAGGTCCAGCTCTCTCAGGTGGGAGGGGTTGGAGCTCAGAGCTGAGGCCAGAGAAGTACAGCCTTCCTCTGTGATCAGACAGCCTGACAGACTGCAGACACACAAAACAAACATCAATCAATGAACACTTCAGTGAAGGTTGATCTCAGGTAGGGATGGGTATCGTTTAGGTTTTATCCGATACCGGTGCCAAATCGGTACTTTTGAAACGGTGCCGGTGCTCAAACGGTGCTCAAACCGGTGCTTAAAGAATGGAGAACACAAAATTGGTCCAAAAACCTCTCATGTTCAGCTGTTTTTTGTAAAAAAGATAACA